CCAGCTCAGCAGCCCCAGGGCTCTCAGCCTGGCCTGGCACAGAGATGCTCCAGCCCCTCAGCAGCTTCCCAGCCTCTGCTGGACTCTCTCCAGTAGCTCCTGGTCTCTCTGGACCTGGGGAGCCCAGAACTGGATCAAATACTCCAGAGGTGGCCTCACTGGGGCAGAGTGAAGGGGCAGGAGAACCTCCCTGAACCACTGGCCACACTCTTCTTCATGCACCCCAGGAGACCATTGACCTTCTTGGCCACGAGGGGCTGTGTCTGGCTTCTGGTGAACTTGTCTGGAAATACAAGCTGCCCACCCTCCCTCTGCCAGACCGACTGGATGGGTGCTGGTGACTCCTTATGCCTCATCCTCCCCAGCACCTTGATCCCCTCTGCTCCTTGTCCCATCCTTGTGTCCTTCTGGGGTCACTAATCCTCTGTTGTGGCAGGCGCTGCCCCTGGCTCAGCTCTCCAGGGTGGGATTGGCAAAGAAGAAAGCCTTGGATTGCTTTTCCTCCAGCCTTTGGGAAGCAAAGAGATTTATTCTGGGCTCCCCAGCTCCCATGCCACGGCTGGGACACGAAGAGCCCTTGGCAGGAGCACCTTGGCAGAGCTGCCTCTTGCTTCTCCCCACTGATTTCAGCTCCTGGATGCATTTTGCCCTGAACCAAACCCATGATAGGTGTGGTCGTTGCTCTTACCCTGCTTCTACTCGCAGGGTTTCCCACAGGAGAACTTCCCTGGGCAGAAAACAGGTGTTTTTTGGGGAATATCTTAGATTTTGGTGGCTTTTTGAGAGCTGCAGATGGGAAGAGGAAGACGACAGCATCAGCATTTGTTCTCCCTAGTTTCAGGAACACAATTTTTGCCTCCTCATCCTCCCTGCTTCAATGGGACCGTGGTGATGTGACCCCCAAAAAGGGCCTCCCCTCCTGGCAGGGGCACAGCTCGGTGCTAAAGCCCAGCCTGGTGATTAACGAGCTCATTAAGACAAAGCAATCAAATGACCCAGCTGGAAAGGAGCAGCTTCACAGCTAAGGTGGCCGTGACCTTCCTGGGGTTATATCCGTGGGTCATTGCACCTTCTCCTGACCCCTCACTCCCAGAAGGAGCTTGAGGGGCTGGAGCGTGGCCAGAGAAGGGCAACGGAGCTGCTGGGGAAGGGTCTAGAGCCCAAGTGTGGGGAGGAGCAGCTGAGGGAGCAGCTCTGTGGCTTCAGTCACCCTCTTGAGCCCCACCACCCCCTTGGTCCTGCCTGTCCCTTGCCCCCCGGGGCCTCAGTGCCCTCAGCTGCTGGCAGGCAGCTCGTGGAGCATTTCTTAAAGCTCTTTTTTGTGTCCTTATGAATAATTTGGTGATTCTGCATCTCAAGCAGCAGCTCTCTCTGGGGTGGGACCACGGAGCACATCCCTGCTCCCTGCCCTGTCGTGTCCCAGAGCTCCAGGGGCTGTGCTACCAGGGTGGGAAAACTGGGCAGGGCACCCCTCATGTTGGAAGGTGGCACCTGGGATCTCAGGAGGTGGATTTTGGAAGCCCCCAGGATGTCCCAGCTGAGGGCTGGAGGAGGCCCCTCCAGTCCTGGCAGTGCTGATGGGGCAGTTTGGGGGATGGGAGGAGGACACGAGTCTGAGCTCTCAGCAGCCCCTGAAGGAGGAGGGGCTCTGCCACAGCAGAGGTGATGGTGGCCATGGTCAGGTGTTGGGTCCATGGTCTCTGTTAACCTCTTGTTGCTCAGCTGATCTGTTATTGAACCCCTCCAACCCAAGGCTTGCCAAGACTCTGCAGATAGACTCCGTGGACCTTCCTTTGGGAAGTCCTGGGAGCACTCCTAGGAGCCTTCTGAGGTGCCTCCAAGCCCTGGACCCGGGATCCCTGCCCCACAAGAGGGGATGATCACCCACCAACCCCCTTTCTGTGGTTGCTGCAGGTCCTTGAGCACCTGGATGACCACCTGAAGAGGTCCCAATACTTCAGATTCCTCTGGTTCCCTCACAGTGAGAACGTCAGCGTCATCTACCAGGATCCTACCACCAAGGCAGGTCCCACTGGGCTCCAGGGTGGGGAGGGATCGTGCCCAAAACCAGGAGCCTCCCCAGAGCAAATGTTTTAGGCTGAGCTTGCAATGCAAGGGTGTTGGGGGGGTTGTGGGTGACCAGGGAAACAGCATTTTGGGGCTAGGCTGGACTCTGCCCATGCTCTGTGGTCTGGGGATCTTGGGATGTGGATGCAACGGGGGCTGTCCAAGCTCTGAGGATCCTCATGACAAAGCCTGGTCTCCTTCTGGGGCTGGTTGTAGCCCTGTTTCATCACAGAAGAGAGAGCTGGGGAGTTCTGGGGTCCTCTTCTCCAAACCCCAGCTCTCAGCTTGGTCCAGGACCAGGCACATGTTCCCAACTTCATGCCTGCTGGCAAAGAAAGCTGCAAACTCTGCCAGTCCCTAATGACCATCATCTTCCTCTGCTTGGCTCTGCAGCCCCCCTCTTCCTCTGCCAGCTGGTTGTGGGATTATGCTGTTGGCTATTATTTGTTGGAGTTTCTGCTCTGGATCAGGTAGGAACGTGCTCTGGGCAGTGGCTGGGGACAAGTTGGGGACGTTTGTTCAGTGGTGGCCTCATCCAGATCTGTTCTCTGCATCTCTACCCTGAAACCTGTGCTGCTATGCTGGAAAATCCCAGAGAAGGGCAACGGAGCTGCTGGGGAAGGGTCTAGAGCCCAAGTGTGGGGAGGAGCAGCTGAGGGAGCTGGGGGTGCTGAGCCTGGAGCAAAGGAGGCTCAGGGGAGACCTTCTGGCTCTGCACAGCTCCTGACAGGAGCCTGGAGCCAGGGGGGGGTCGGGCTCTGCTCCCAAGGGACAAGGGACAAGAGGAAAGGGCCTCAAGTTGCCCCAGGGGAGGTTTCAGTTGGCCCTGAGGAACAATTTCTTGCCCTGGAGGGTTGCCCAGGGCTGTGCCAGGCTGCCCAGGGCAGTGGTGGAGTCCCCACCCCTGGAGGGGTTCCCAAGCTGTGGAGATGTGGGGTGAGGGACACGGGGCAGTGGGGACCTGGCAGGGCTGGGGGGTGGTTGGACTCCAGGAGCTGAAAGGTCTCTTCCAATTGCATGACGAGGCAGGGCTGTGACCCAGAGCCCCCCATCCCTGGGAAAGGAGGAGATGCTCGTTCTCGGAGCAGGCTCCAGCGCTGGAGGAGCAGCTCTGGGCCGATGGCTGGGGCTGCAGTGCCCTCTCCTGTGCACCGAGGTGCAGCAGCAGCAGCAGCTCGGGTTTGCAGCTCGGGTTGGGAGGTGCCGTTGGCTGTGAGCACATCCTGAGCCCCAGGGTGGCAAGAGGAAGATCCAACCAGGTCCTAGAAAGCTAAACTGGGAAGCAGGACCCTGGAGACACAGGAGAGCTTGGAGTGGCCTCCATGGAGAGGGAGAATAACTCCTGCTCTGGAGAGATCCCAAACCCTCCTGGCTGTGACCCTGGGCACCCTGCTGGGGGTGAGCTGCTGGAGCAGGGGTGGGATGAGATGATCTCCAGAGGTCCCTTCCAACCCCCACCATGCTGGGATTCTGTGAAGAGGGACTGTGGCCACTTAGGAGCCTGGCTAATTAGCCCATCCTGCCACTCTACCCTGTCCCCAGTAGCTGTCAGTCCCCAGAGGACAGCCTGGGAGGCACTCGAGGGGGAGGGAAGGTGATGACCCCAAAAAAGGGTGCTCCCTTTTCTAGTTTGCAGCAAGAGGAGGAGGAGGGAGCCAAGGGCAAGGGTCCACGAGCCAAGATCAGGTGTGGTGAGCTCCCAGCAGGTCCCCACAGGCTCCAGCATAGAATCATAGAATCCTTTAGGTTGGAAGGGACCTCCAAGATCATCAAGTCCAACCCTTGAGCCATTAGGGCTCTAAAGTCCTCTGCTAAAACAGATCAGAATCTGTCAGGGTTGGAAGGGACCACAAGGATCCCCCAGTTCCAACCCCTCTGCCATGAGCAGGGACACCTCCCACTAGATCAGGCTGCCCAGAGCCTCCTCCTGGGTGGGAGGCTGGACCTTTGATGCCCTCAAGGGGCATCCCCTTGCTCAGCATCTCCAGGCTGTGAGGTGCCATCATAGCCACCAGAGCTCTGGGGTCAAATCTCACCTCCTGCTCTCCCCCACAGCACCTTCGTGCCCTCCTTGGTGTGCTGGATCAACCGCTTCTTCTTCTGGCTGCTCTTCAGCTCCCGGGTGGAGAACGTTGCCATCAGCTACAAGATCTTCAACTACGAGTGTCGCTTCAAGCAGCACGTTCAAGACTGGGCCATCCCCATGTAAATGGCTCTGCAGACCCCTCCCTGTCCATCCCCAGCCAGGTTCAGTGGTTGAACCTCCTGCCATCTCCTGCTTGTGCTCTGCCCCAGCCCAGGCTGCCTGGAACGGGGGTTAATCCATGGAAGAAATGGACGTGGCTTGGAGGCACCACTCCTAGCAGCGAGCTTAGCATGGGGACCCTTCTTCACCCCTGTCCTGGGGTACCAAATTCATGCCATGCCATCTCCTGGGGCTTTGTGGGCCCAAAGCAATGGGAGGGGTGTGCTGGGATGTGCCAAACCATTCCCCGAATCGATCACGGGGCTCTGGGGAGGGGTGTTCAAAGCTGAAGAGAGTTGGCTGTGACCATTCCCTGGGGCTTGGGGCTTCTCCTGGGCAGTGAGAAGACCAAGGAGGCTCTGCTGGAGCTGAAGGCTGCCTTGGAGAACAACCCCAAGATGGTGGCTCACTACCCCGTGGAGGTGCGCTTCGCTCGGGGGGATGAGATCTGGCTGAGTCCTTGCTTCCAGAGAGACAGCTGCTACATGAACATCATCATGTACAGGTGAGCCAGGTCCTCATTCCACCCTTCTCCTCCTCCTCCTCCTCCTCCTCCCTGGTTAGAGCACCTTGGAGCCACCCATCCCCTTTTCTTGAGAACGTCCCACCTCAGGGTCCACTGGCCAAATGTTGGTGGCACGCTGGTTCCCAAAGGGTTTCCAGCCCCATAGGCTGCTCAAAGAGCCCATGATGGTTCCTTGGGGTTGTCCTCCCCAGGTGGGGCTTTCTCAGGGGGGGTTTCTTGGGTGTACAAATCCCCTTGCTGATGCCCTCCCTGCCCAACCCCTCCCCAGGCCCTACGGGAAGAACGTCCCCCGCCTCAACTACTGGCTGACCTACGAGGGCATCATGAAGAAGCACGGTGGGAGACCACACTGGGCAAAGGTACCCACAGCCCCACTCCTCGGGGAGGGAAGGGTCAGTGGAAGGAGGCCCCTGCCCCTTCTTCCTCACAGCTCCTCGTGGGAGGGGGAGTTGGAGGTCAAGGAGGGGGCTGAGAAGAGTTCCCATATCGTGCTGGTCCCAGGGGGAGGTGGGTGCCTCCAGAAGATGGTGTTCCCCTGTTTGCTACCCACCATGGGGGTGTCATCTCTGGAGAGCATCTCCTCCAACCCCCTGCTCCAGCAGGGTCACCCACAGCAGGGGGCCCAGGATGGGGCACATAGATAAGGGGATGGAGGTCGCTCCACTTCTGCAGGGGCTTCTTACAGCCCCTGTTCGTGGTGGTCCAGGGCCAGTGACACCTTGCCCAGCGATGGGCATCCCCTCCCAGACACTTGGTCTCCTGCAGGCCCACAGCTGCACCCGGAAGGACTTTGAGAAGATGTACCCAGCCTTCCCCAAATTCTGCTCCATCCGGGAGAAGCTGGACCCAGCAGGGATCTTCCTGAACGCCTACCTAGAGAAGGTGTTTTACTGACAAAGGGCCATGTGAGGCCCCCACTTCTTGGGACACCCCAAAGCTCATGGTCCTCCGTGGTCCCAAGGTGCTGCTCCCCCCAGCTCTGCCCTTCTCTTCCCAGCAGGCAGCAAGGGCTGGTCCCAGGGGTGGGGGTGTGCTCTGATTTTGGTGCTAACAAAGGTCCACGGTGCCTGGAAATCTCTCCTGGAAACCAGCAGCCCAAGGGAGACCATGTCCTTGTCCCCCACCCTTGCACAGCCCTTCCTGTCAAAGCCAACACCTCAATAAAGACCTTACTTGGAGCAGATCTTCCCTGAGCATGTGCTTGCACTGAGAAAAGGGGCTTGGTGTCTCCCTACGTTCCAGCAGGGTGGGCGTGGAGAGCAGATTCCACTGCAGAGCCTGGGGCTGGTGCCATCTGGCTCCTCAAGCTCAGGCCACCTCCCCTTGCCAAGGGGCACACAGACAGATTTGGGGAGGAAGAGGATGTCTGCCTGCCAGCCTGGATCACCAGATCCATGGTGGGGTTGGGAGGGACCTCT